AGGCATCAGCAGCGCTGCTGGGTGTATGCTCGGCTGTTATGCGATTTTGCTGTTATGCGATTTTACCACACTCGCAAAATCGCACACAGCCGACCATATAACAAACTCTGTATTTTGAGTGGAAATGTTAGGGGGTCTTCTTATACACCCAGTCGTCTTATACGCCGGCAAATACGGTATTAGTATCTGTAATTGCCAGGCTCTCCCTTTTTTGTTCAGTGAAATGTTGGAATTTATACTAGATGTTTCTTGGTAACTATTTAAGTTATATGTAAATATAAAAAGCAACTTATTAGCTTAAGTCCTTGGAAACTTTATGTAAACATGTTTAGATAATTTATTCAACAAACATGTTAAGTATTCTTTATATAGCAGGCTTTGATGTAATAGTAGGAATTTTGGCTCCAGAAATAAGTTAGTCCTTGCCCACAAGGAACTTAAACCTGAGAATGAAATTAGAGGGGCCAGACATGTAGTTATTTTTATAATTCACTGTCCCATCTAAAATGGAAGGGGCCACGGGGACCACCTTATCTAGTAGTTTTAAAGTATATTCTGGTAAGCACCAGGAGCTCATTAGTGTATGTGTGAGAAGTGGGGTAAAGAAAAGATAGCGAATGTTTTCTCCATTCAGGTTTCTATCAGAGTACCTTTGCTTTATCTGTTTTATACTTCTGAGCTTCTAAGAAGGTTTCATTTTAGGAAAGAGTTCTGCAGCTTAAAAGAAAAATAAAATTTGAAAACCACTGACTTAATCTAATCTCTCATTTTCATTGGAAAACTGAGGATATAGGAGGATAATTGTCTTGCTCAGAATCACTGCTTGGTGGGACAAAGACTAGAAATGAGGTCAGCTGACTCTGAACACACTGTTGCAACTTTTTACTTTATTGCATCTATTTCTTAAAACACCTGTAGGAAATAAGCCTTAAAATTACTTGTAAAGGTTAGTTGTACTTATACAATCATACTTTTCTTCTAGTAAAGTAGCATTACTCCCTCCCCTCTCCTTAGGACAGTGAATTATTTATTATTCCTAATTAATCATGAAGATTTTATAGTTTTTTATCAAGATATCAGAGAAAGCTACCTAGTATTTGTTAAAAAAAATCAGTGTCCAGAGAGCTTTTCAGTTTCATCTGATACAGATAACTGACTAAAGGAACTAGAGCCCTTCCACCAAACCAACAATTCCATTGATTTTCTTTGGGTGCACACTCAATAGGTATTATCTATTATGTATTTCTGTATCTGTGGTCCTTTGTGAAAATGCCATTTTCATTGTTTTTTTTTCAGTTTTACTTCATTAATCTTGGGCTGGATGTGTTTTGACTGGCCAAATAGGTAACATTAAATACATCAAATGTGTCATTTGAAGAGTCTGATGCTCTTAAAATGTTTTTTTTCCCAGCTTTGGTCTTTCAGATACATTTTATTCACTAATAACTTGGAATTAAATTTTACAATCCTGACATATTCCTTTTGGAAGACGTATTTTCAGTATGTCTATTATACCTAAATTCCAAAATAATATGAGGGTATTTAGGCTTTTGGGTTGGATGACTTAAAATCTAATAATAAATTAATTTTTTTATGCAGATCTTTGATGGAAAACAGATTCCACAGAGAATGGTTGATGGATGGAATGCTTTTTTCTTTGATAAAACAGAAGAACTGGTAATTTTCAAATAGTCTTTTATCTTATAGAATGCGTACTGATAAATGTTAGGATTTGCATAATTTAATTTAATAATTTTACTTGGATTCGGAGTCCATTTGTTGGATAGGTATAGATATCTCTCTCTCTCTCTCTCTCTCTCTCTNGCTGCTCAGCTCAGGCTGGACTCGAACCGCTGTTGCTCAGAGCTCAAACTCTTGAGCGAGCTCTTAACCAACTGAGCCACTCGGCCGGCCCGCGACATATTTCTTTATGTAGCCCTTTAAATGTCTTTGTGGACAGAGGTCATCTGAGAAAAGAAAGGAATCCAGCTACATACTACAAATCATATTTGATACAGCTACTTTTCTGGGTTCACCTCACAAAATATCTCCAATAAGACAACAGTTCTGTACCCCGCTGGAGTTTCGTTAATGAAACCAAGTAGTTCGTGTCAGGGAATCATTCATCTCCCTTAATAAAATATCAGCTAAAGCTTTACTCAAGGGAAGTCTCTGAGGATTCTTTTAGGGTTATTTTTTTAATTAAAAATTTTTTCTGAATAACCAACATATTTATGTGGTTCAAAAGGTCTAAAGGAGGTTATGGTAGAAAATCTCCCTTCCACATCTTATCTCCTAGCCAACTAGTGCTTCTTTCTGGACACACTCAGTATTAAAAGTTCCTTTGTATTCCAAAAATACACTAGTACAAGCAAATACATAAATTTCCCATCTCCTTTTTATTATGGTATAAACAGACTAAAAACAGTGTTTTGTACTTTGCTTTTTTTACTGAGCAGTAGACATTGGAAATTATTTCCTGTTATTATATAAGAGCTTCCTTGTTCTTTTTTAATGGCTAAATATTGTGTGAAAAATCATTAGTTTTATAAATCTGTGTTTTACTGATGAGCCTTAAGTTGTTTCATCAGTGCTACAATAAACTTCTTATTTAGTCATTTCACATATTTTTTTGGCAGGATATTTGCAGGATAAATTCTTAGAATAGAATGGCTAGGTTAAAGGAAATGTGCTTTTGTAATTTTGATTTTGCCAAATTATTCATCATAAAGTTTATGTTAATTTATATTCTCACCTGTAATGTGTAAGTGCCTGTTTACCAACACCTTCTATGACTGTTTGTTATTAACTTTAGGATATTTGCCAGTTTGATGAGTTAAATGTGTCTCAAAGTAGTCAATACTTTGTGGAATAAGATTCTGAAGTTTTGTTTTCAATCATTGTTATGTTTCTTTAGAGATGTGACATTGGTGATGCTTCCAGGGGAAGTTTATCTTCATATGCTTATATCCTTATGGTGCTGTACTTTTTGCAGCAGAGAAAACCACCTGTTATCCCAGTTCTACAAGAGGTAGGTGTTTAAGAATACTGTAAAGGAGTTTCTTGTGAAAACAATCTATGTAAATAAATACATAGATCTTGCTCGGTTCATGAGATCATGAAGGATTTTTCCATCATGGCATACTGTTTCTTCTCCCATTAATGGTATAATCAAACAATGAACCTTTTTGAAAAGTTTATTATGGGAGAATATAGACTAACAAAAAAAATTAGATGAACAGAGCTATTGAATATCTTTTACAAAAATTTTTGTATTTTATAGTCAGAATGCTACAGATGGTTATGAAGTTCTTATTGCCATCCATGAACTCATATGTTATAGTCTCTCAGATGCAAATATAAATTTCTTCTCTCCAGAGTATTTTCTCTCCTTTTGCCTGGCAATGAAGTTTGATTTATTCTTGTGTATATTTTGGTCAAGTTTGTGAATTTTGGGTGAGAGAAAACCTAAGAAATTCTATCTTATCTCTCTAAGGTCATGCTAATTGCTTTAAGCGTAAGAATATATATTAAAATAAAATTATACTCATATTCACTCAGATTTGGTGACTCATAGAGTCTATTTTTTGTAGCCAATTTGTATTCTCTGAAATAGGTACAAAGGAGTTCTTGATCATCTATCTGTTTTCCTCATTCTTGGCACAAAGTGGATTTGCAAACATTAGGGAGAATCCAGTTCTAATTTCTTTTGAGGTAGGAGAGAATCATCAGAATTGTTTGGAAAATTACATATTCATATACTGATTTCACATGAACTTTGATAGTCATGTCAAAGAAGAAAATAAGACAATAGCAAGCCATATGATGCGTATCAGATGGCCTTGGTATGTTTTAAAAAATTCTAATATGTCATGTGGTTTTAACAGCATTTCCTTCCCTCTTTTAAACAAACAGTGGAAGAGAAATAAACATTTTAAATATAGTTTCCTAGCAGAAAATTTTAAGTTGCTGAATCTGTTGAGTGATGTGTTTTTTTAACAAGGTTATTCACTGAAGGATATTTAAAATTTAGCATGAACTTTATTAGGCTTGCCAAGGTCAAGATCATCTCTATGTTAGTCTAATTGTTGTTAAGGGTTTAAATTTGGGAATCTTACGCATAATTGCCTCAGTGATATCATAGCAATCATTTGCTACGATTTGCTTTGACTTTGACAGAATACTATGATTACTCAGGAACACAAATTTTGGTGGTTTGTCTGTATTCTCTCATTATAGTACCCATGGATGAAAAGCCATTGAGGCAGTGTGATATAATGGAAAGAGCAGGGCACGATTTTAGAAGCAGAGATAACTGGTCTGAATCCAAATTCTGACACTGTAGCTTTTTTAACAAGCTGCCTGACCACCTGAGTTTCATCATCAGTAAAAATATAATAATTGTAAGAGTATTTAGTGTCAATATAAGCAATAGAGACATCGAATGCCTTTGAATATAGTAGGTACTAAAGTAGATGTTCATAAATGGTAGTTGCTTTTATTATTTTTTTACTGTTATCATTAAGAGCTTTATTAACAGTATTGGAAAACTGTAGGTAGGATTGCCATAGCCAACTTCAAGAACTCTCCCATTATCTGCTTAACAGACAATGATTGATGAAATGAGAGACAGTCCATGGAATGTTTTCCATCATAATGAGCTGTGATTATGGGGGGCTTTGTGATACATATGAACTGATGATATATGGATTTTTGCTTCTGGCCTTTTATGCTTGTCATATGGGATCCCATTGTCCATTGCTCTGGCATCATTTAAGTATTGGTCATTGGCATCGATCATCTTTTAAGGGTAAGGATATGTTTAATGAAGCTGATGATCTTTGACTCCATTTGTGAGTGAACATAGACATTAAGTGACTGGGTATTAATAAGGCTGTGCAAAGAGTGTTTTTCATGGTCAACAATACAAAATTCTTTAGGTCAAAAGGAGCTTTCCTAAGAGAATTATTTTGCTGTATTCTAGCAGATCATTATAAGTAAAAGTACATTTTCACTTAAAAATTAATAAGGAGTAGGGGGTGTTATTCACACTTGATAAGAACTATGGTTTCTTAGCTTGTGTGAGTTCAGAAATTGCAATTGAATCTTGAGGACCTTACGCTAAGTGAAATAAACAGTCACAAAAGGACAGATACTGTATGATTTCACTTATATGAGGTACCTAGGGTAGTCGTATTCATAGAGACAAAGTAGAATGCTGGTTGCCAGGGGCTGCAGAGAGAGAGGAATGTGTAATTATTTAATAGGTTCACAGTTTCATTTTTGCAAGATGAAAAGAATTGTGTAGATATATTGTAACACAATGTGAATATACTTAAAAATGATTAAGATGGTAAATTTTGTGTTATGTGTATTTTATCACACCTAAGAAATTGCAATTTAAATATAGCCATAGATATTAAAATATTACACTCAGATAAGAAAGTAAATAAATGTACAGGGTCACTCCATCTACAGCTATGATGGACTTGTTTGGTAAGGTTTTAGATGAAGGACTAAGTGCTTGAGCAGAGGATGATTGCTGTTGAGAGAAAGAAAGAAGAGAGAAACAGAAAAAGTAAATGTGTGTGAGGGGTAGCATTAATGCTTCTAAAGGCTCAGAGTGTGGAAAGGCACTGTAAAAACAATAGAGTCCATAAAAACAGGTAAATCGGTGATTAAATACCATCTAAGGCCTACAGGTCCACATTGTGTTATCAGCCAGAGTTCCTAAAAAGGATTCTTAAAAAAAATCAAGGCCTAAAAGATGTATCTTGTATTACTTACATATAATATGTATAATAACATCCTAATATATGAGTAAAATATTTTGGCCTCTTTAAAACCTTTCTTTCTTTTTGGAGGGTGGGATCCCATGTCTTTTGTTTTAGATTACCGTATTTGCCGGCGTATAAGACGATTTTTTGGCCCTGAAAAATATGCCTCCAAGTGGGGGGTCGTCTTATACGCCAGGTACACTTCAGATAG